CTCGTTGACTTAACCAAGCATAATTCTGATAATTCTCACTGTCATTACTCGAATTTTTAATTACGGGGTGTGAAGTTCCAGCAGCTTGCAATAAGGCACGATGCCATGCACAACTAATTTTCTTAGCTATAAACCTTGCGGAGCCCGAGACCTTTCCAACGAATGCAAAATAGTCGAAATCGGTTCGTGCGTTCTGGAGTTATCTCGTCAGGAAGGAAAACCCGACTTATTTTTATATATATAGAAGATTATAATATTTGACATATACAAATATAAATATGAAAATCATATGACAAGAAAGAAAACATGAAATGCCCATATAAAAAATTGTTAAAATATAACTACCATGTGGATTGAAACAATATCGATAAAGAATAAAGCGAGTACGTACTCAATAATCTGATAAATAATACGGACATTTAAACATGCAGTTTAAACTTAAATCGATAAGCAATAAGCAAAAAGCAAGAACGTTACTAACAAATATTTCGCAAATAAAATCAAAGAAATTGCAGAATAGAAGGCTGTCAAATGTTATTTTTTCACAGATTGAATCAATAAGCGAAACTATTACACACCAAAATACTAACCGAAAGCCTGCAAATATTGAACACTAGAGCACTCAATTTAAACAAAATCAAATTAACATTACAAAAACCCATGGTTGCAAATTCTGCGATGTGAATCACCACACGACATAGATTACAAAGCAAGCAAACGGAGAGCGAAGTAAGTTGTAAGGGTGCCGGCACACATTGCCATACTGTTCATACAGCGCCCATGCGGCTCCAGCCGCAAACTAATCCAAGATTTCGTCAAATGCAACTTTATTAATGACTGATTATATAGCAAAATAACTACTAAATGCAGAGATAATAAAGAAGAATGTCTCGTAAATGAATTTTAATCCTAGGAAATTTGTTTTCTCTTATTTTTGATATCAATATATATATATATATATATATATATATATATATATATATATATATATATATATTAGGATGGTCCTTGAAATGGTCATTTTCGATATATATATATACATGGTCTGTTCAAAAAGTTTTCGTAATTTTCGTTTTTTCAAAAAAATATTTATTCATTCGTCTACATTAATGTGGTCCCCTTCAAAGTAGTCCCCCCCAGATATAATACACTTATGCCAGCGTTTTTTCCAATTTTCGAAGCACCCTTGCTATTCACTTTTTGATATGTCCTTGAGCACTCTCAGCGATTTTCTTCAATCGAGGAAAACCGCCGTCCTTTCATGGGTCTCTTCAACTTTGGGAATAGGAAAAAGTCACACGGAGCCATATCTGGTGAATTTTTGCACTTTGCAACACTTTATTTCATTTTTTACGCAAAATTTAATACAAATTCTTTGACTTTTCAATTCTTCCATTGTAAAAATCGCCGAGCTCAGAAAAACACGTCGAACCTTTAGCGACTACCACAGACAAAGTAAACAGTGAATATAGCTGAAAATTTCATCATACTTTAGGGGCATGTATACCAACACAATAAAAAAAAAATTTTGACAATCAGACACTCCAGACCCGCGAAATTTAACTATTAGTAATTCCGGGTACTTTTTGAACAGACATACCGTTCAGTTAAAAATAATCATTATTGTTTTTCGAGTTACTATTTACACCAATATATGAGTGACGTTAAATGTAGTACTGTTTCAAATAAAATTGATTATTCTCAATTCCCACAGTTAACACTTTAATTATCCCTTTAACAAATATTAAAATATGTTCAATAAAATTGTATATCAAAAATTATACACTGCGATTTATAGAACAAATTTATTTCCAATAGCTCAATTTATTTTGTTGAATTTAAGGGTTATACAATATTTTTAGACATACCTGTAGATGTGGATGTTTAAATGAATGATTTTTTGTTTATTCACGGCTAAAACATTGATTTTCCAAATTTATCACCATGTATTTATTGTCATAGCATAGATACACATGTTACAATTGAAATCTTTTAAAAAGTATAACAAATTCAGAAAGAATTAATATATAGCATGCAGTCAAGGTACAATATCACCTTGGATTTTTCTACCCAAAATTATTGCTTCAATAATGTTGCCTACAATTTTTATAATTTCGTACCATATTTTGTTTTGTTTCTGGCTTTTAGTATTTTAATATCTAAATTGCATTTTTCACACTAATAATTCAATATACATTATTACTTAAGTTCATATTTGAAGTGAATTAATTTGTCAAATTTTGTTCACATGTGCTCTATTCAACCTACTATCAACAAAATTATTGCAGTAAATGGAGAGGGAAAAAGCGTATGCCCAGCTAATCTTAATCTAAAGTTCAGAAGTGAAAACAATTTGCATTTGGTTACCACCGCCCGCATTAATTGGATTATAACTCTTTTAATTCTGATTTTATCATAACTTGTAATATACTATTTTAAAGGTACAACTTTCTCTATCATGAATTTTACCGTAATTTCTCTTATTTTGAAACGGCGAAGGGTTAAAGGGCTCGAAAGACACTCCGGTTGGACAGCCGCACTCTTTAAACAATTAGAATTCTATCAATATTTGTGTAACAAAAAAAATAATAAAAAGCAACAATAGGTCAGAAAAATACCTTGAATTTTCATATATATACACTTATACGTATTCTTTCAGAGATATTATAATGAGAAATTGTTTTTTTTTTTTTTAAATGGATTTTTTTATGAAATCATGAGTTTTTTGAATATCGTTTGTACTAATGTTATGGTATTTTCTAGAATCCATCAAGATCTCTCAAACCAAGTTAATTCTAGATGGAAAACAATTATTTTTAATTTTGGTAGAAATGGCACTCATAAATATATTTGATTTAAATGAAAAAAAAAATTGTATGCGTCTTTTAATTGCATGATAGCTCACTCATTTTACACGCAGAAGTACTTCTTTTAAAGCTTATTTGGAACTATAAGAACCCATTTTCATAATTAACTTAATATTGTTCCTAGAACACTGAAAAATAGCGATTTATTAAAATTTTTATTGATATAATTTTGTTCATTACATAATTTTCGTTAAAATGTATATTTTTGAAGATATTAGCAGAAAACGATAAAAAACGCAAAAAAGAAACAAATTTTCAATAGCCAGTTACTTGAAAAGTATTTGCTTTTTTGAAAAACATTATTAAACATTTTTCTCTTATAATTAGTTCTTTTATCCACACCCAACGTTATTACACCACTGAAAAGAAATGGCATTCCCCCGGGTAGTGCAAAAGAGTCTAAATTGTTTTCACTTTTGAACTTGAGAGTAAGATGAGCCTAATTCCAAAATTCCAAACGAATTGGAAAACAGTAAAAAAGGGTTCAGATCCAAAGCGCTCCTTTGAGTAAATATTCCGTACAAAATGCCAACCATATGAATTTTTGACACAATATAACTTCTAAATAATTTTTGAATAAGTAATTTTTTTTGTATTGTGACTTAGTATAGTAAGGCAAAACGACCGCAAATTGAATATTTTTGAGCGCAATCACTTATGGCTCGTATCTTTTGCACGAATTCGTACGGCGAATCTGTTCGCAAAGTGCGCAAACAAAATTATTGCAAGCAAAAGCAAACCACGCGCACGTTGAGAACACGATTCGCCGTGCGCGTCAGACGCATGTTATATTATTTGCATCTTATATTATTTTTATTATGGCACATTTTTAATCATGAATTTATTATATTTTATTATTGCCTTAGCCTATAAGTGAATATAAATGTTTGGAAAATGACAGTTCTCATTTGTTTTTAATGTCAAACCATGCCTTAAATATTTTAAAGGTCAAACAATGATAAGCGGTTTTTAGTATTTTTTCCATTTATTTCTACAATCTAACTATATTTCTATGAATCAAAACATTCTAGGAAAATTTCCGAACAAACTTCAGGAAGATTCATGAAAATCTGAATTATAGTTTAGGAGTATTAATGAAACTTACATTGTTACAGAAGAATTTTATATATAAGACTAGCTGACCCGACAGACGTTGTTCTGTACCCACGTCTACAATTTTACAATATTTTATACTAATATTTACTGCTTAGTTTAAAATAATAATTACTGTTTTTTGAATTACTATTTACACCATTATATGAGTGATGTTGAATGTAAAACTGTTTCAAATAAAATGATTCTTCTCAATTCCCACAGTTAACACTTTAATTATTCATTTAACAAATATTAAAAAATGTTCAATAAAATTGTATATTAAAAATTATACACTGCGATTTATAGAATATATATGCGGCATTATACTATATAGCATAATTTTGTTGATCGTAAGTTGAATAGAGCTCATGTGAACAGGATTTGACAAATTAATTCACTTCAAATATAAACTTAAGCAATAATGTATATTGATTGATTAGTGAAAAAAATGTAATTTAAATATTAAAATTACTAAAAGCCAGTTAGAATATGGTACGAAATTATAAAAATTATAGGCAAAATTATTGAAGCAATTATTTTGAGTAGAAAAATAAAAGGTGATATTGCACCTTTGCCGCGAATGCTATATAGTAATTCTTTCTGAATTTGTTGTACTTTTTAAAAGATTTCAATTTTCAACACGTGTATCTTATGCTGTGACATAAATCACAAAGGCACAGACGATCATTTTTAGTGTGATAAATTTGGAAAATCAATGTTTTAGTCGTGAAAAAAAAAAAATCATTCATTTATACATCCACATCTACAGGTATGACTAAAAATACTATATAACCCTTAAATGCAATAAATAAATTGAGCTATTGGAAATTTTGTTCTATAAATCGCAGTGTATAATTTTTAATATACAATTTTATTGAACATTTTTTAATATTTGTGCTCTGTGAATTTTTTTACTGTGCTCCAATTTACTTGATTACCCATTACTTAAAATTTTGTTATCGTTAAGATATATCGTATACATTTTATCAAAGTGTACAGTTCCACTTTGTAAAGTCATTATATTACCCATTACTTAAAATGACTGATATCAATACAGTTTTATCACAATTTGCCATTGTTAAAAAGCATATTGAACGCATTCAACAATTTATGACTGGTGCAAGTAATGTAACTAATGTTTCTGAATTTAGTGTAAGGAAAACAAAGTTAAATGAATGCATGGAGAAACTTGACATTTTATATGTAGTACTGGATGAGCATAGTCCAGGAGAATTCACAAATGAATATGACGCATTTTATGATCTTGGCTTATCACTATTAGCTTCGTTGGAACAACATATAAGTAAGTTTGTTGTAAAAGTTGAAAAGGGGCTAAAGAGTGAAGCAACGTTAGATGTAAAATTGCCAGTAATTTCTCTACCTAAGTTTAACGGTGACACTAGTCAATGGCTTTCCTTTAAAGATATTTATGAATCGCTAATACATAATAATGATAAATTGAGCCCAGTTCAAAAATTATATTATTTGAAAGGAGCATTAACTCCACCAGCTTCTAATTTAATTTCTTCATTAAGTTCGACTAACGATAATTATAAGGTCGCTTATTGGTTACTTCTTGAAACCTATAATAATAAATTTTTGATTATTAATAATCACTTAAGTGCTATAGATTCTATTCCTCACATTAATAAAAGTACATATGATTCATTGAAACAATTTTTAAATATTAGTAGATTACATTATCAATCACTCATTGCTGTGTTCGAGGAAGCAAAGCATTGGGATTTAATTATTTTATTTTTGTTAAACAAAAAGTTAGATAATAATACTAAAGTAGCGTGGCATTTAGCTAAATCTACGAAAACATTACCTACAATATCTGAATTTTTTAAATTTATTGAGCAACGAACAAATGCGTTAGAAAATGTTTGTGACAAAGTGCCTATGAAGACGGTTAACTTTAATAGCAATACTAGTAATAATAAGTCAAACAAGCCGCCTTTGAGCTGTTCATTTTGTAAAAAATCTCACATGTTATATATATGTGTCAAAAATTTAAAGAGTTGAGCATTTCCTTGAAAAAAGATTTTATATCAAAAAATTCAATTTGTAATCGATGTTTGGCATCAAAACATGCTGCTGAAAAATGTAACTATTCTCGGAAATGTTTTCACTGTAATGAATTACATAATTCACTTTTACATGAGACTGTAGAATCTCCTACAGCTCATACATCATCAGTCGATACAGTTCATTTTGTCGACCATTTTAATCAATATTAAAGATCCTAATGGTAAAATAATTACAGCTCGAGCATTACTTGATAGTGGCTCACAAATAAACTAAATTACAGATTCCCTTATTAAAAAATTAAATTGTAAAACTGAGTCCACAGTGCATAGGTTAAGCGTCTTGCAAGGCCAATGTGTCACAAGCAAACGATCTACAAAGTTAAATATTCATTCGCGTATAAATAGTTTTTCTCGCAATATACATTGTGTAGTTGTCAATAAAATTACTGGTAATTTACCCTCGACTAATATTGATATTACGGATTGGAAGATACCCGATAATATTATGCTAGCAGATCCTACATTTAATGAAGCACTACCTATTGAATTACTCATAGGTGCTGAACTTTATTTTGACGTGCTACAACAAGGCTGCATTAGATTAGGCAAATGCTTACCGATATTAAGGGAAAGTAAATTTGGGTGGTTGATTTCAGGCGTATATAAAGTTGAGGATAGGGATGATAATTCATATGTAGGTTTAATTTCAAATATTGATCTTCATAATACCATAACTAAATTCTGGCAGATTGAAGAAATTTCAATTGATAATATCATAACCGGTAGTGATAGGGAATGTGAATCTTTATTTATTGATAATGTGACCAGATTAGAAGATGGTCGTTTTTCGGTCGCACTGCCGTTCAAATCAAATGACATTGAAATGTTAGGGTCGTCGTTTTTAGGCGCAAAAAATCGTTTTCTTAATTTAGAAAGACGTTTGTCGCGCAATCCAGAACTTAAAGCTATGTATACTAATTTCATTCATGAATATATTAATTTAGGACATGCAAAAGTTTTACCTTTCCCAAACATCAGTGATTTATCTAACTCAAATTATTTTCTTCCTCATCATCCTATTTTGAAAGAATCAAGTACAACTAAATTACGAGTTGTTTTTGACGCTTCAGCTAAATCTAGTTCAGGGTCTTCTTTAAATGACGTATTGCATACAGGCCAAAAGTTGCAGCAAGACTCATGTTCAATTTTGTTAAGATTTCGTTTTCATCTTTATGTTTTCATTGCGGACATTGTCAAAATGTACTGACAAATTATGATAAAAGAATCGCATCAAAATTATCAATTAATTCTTTGGAGGGATAACCCTAATGATGATCTACAATGCATTAAATTATTAACTGTAACTTATGGTACGTCTTGTGCACCTTACTTAGCAATGCGTTGTTTAAAGAAGCTTGCAGATGATGAGAAAGGTTTATTTTCAAACGCGTCGAACATTATTCGGCGTGATACTTACGTTGACGATATTATTACTGGTACCAACTCAGTGCACGAATTAGAAAAATTACAAACACAAATTATTGAATTACTACAAAAGGGCGGTTTTTCTCTTCATAAATGGTCCAGTAATAATGAGTTTATTTTGAATAAGATACCAGTTTCAAAACGGGAAACCTTAAATTCATTTTTCACTGATGACAAAAGTTTAATTAAAACTTTAGGCTTGATTTGGGATCCCATGAACGATATTTTCAAAATTTCCTCTCCGTCCTACTTATCGGAAACCAATATTACAAAAAGAGTTATGTTGGCCACAATTGCACAAATATTTGATCCATTGGGGTTAATAGCTCCTATTACAATTGTGGGGAAAATGTTAGTGCAGGAATTGTGGAAGGAGAAATGTGATTGGGATGAGTCCATTACACCTCAGTTACAGAAAAAATGGATCAAATTTAAAAACGATTTACCAAATTTAAAAAATATTTCTATACCGCGATGCATTCTGAAACATTTATCTATTTCTGAGATAGAATGCCACGGGTTTGCAGACGCATCTCTATCTGCATATGGCGCATGTATATATATTAAAATTTTTTATTCCAACAAAACTACATCTACCAATTTATTATGCGCTAAATCTAGGGTAGCACCAGTAAAGAATATTACATTACCGCGTCTTGAACTGTGTGCTGCGCTTTTGTTATCTAAATTATATAAATATGTATGTACTAATGTTGACATCAAATTTAATAATTCCTTTTTATGGAGCGATTCTACTATCGTGTTGGCTTGGATCAAAACTGACCCAAGTCAATTAAAAATGTTTGTAAGTAACCGTGTAGCCGAAATGATTGAAAACACTCCAAAATGTATTTGGAGACACGTATCTAGCGAAGACAACCCGGCTGATATTGTCTCACAAGGTATATCAGCAAGTGAGTTGCAAAATTGTAGTTTGTGGTGGAACGGACCAAGTTGGTTATCGCTAAATTCTAATTGTTGGCCAAATAAATTCATAGAAAATACTGAAAATATTCCAGATATTAAAGTTTTTACCATTTCTAACAAAAATGATTTTAGTTTATTTTACACGCGTTTTTCTAAATTTTCCACGCTAGTTAGAGTAGCTGCCTTTATTTTAAGATGGTTGCCAAAGTCCAAGTCTAATAGAGAATATTTAAAATATTTAACTATGAATGAAATTCATAATTCTTCAAAATATATTATTTTACGCGTACAACAAGAGAGCTTCGGAAGTATTATGGATGGCTTCGGAACTGATCAGAACTTATATTCTAAATTAAAACCTTTAAATCCTTTTATTGATGGCGAAGGCTTGCTGAGAGTTGGTGGAAGACTCGAATATGCTAACATATCGTATGAACAGAAGCATCCTATAATACTTCCCAAGTCTCATTATGTTACAGAATTATTTTTACGCGGAGAACACGAAAGACTTTTGCACGCCGGCACTCAAACCACACTTTCGGTTGTGAGACAAAAATATTGGCCAATTGATGGCCGCAATACAATTAAAAAATTAATTCATAAGTGCGTTAAGTGCGCTAGATTTAAGGCGGCGGCTGCAGAACAACTTATGGGCAGTTTACCAGTCGATCGTGTTAATGTGAAACGTCCGTTTTTAGCTGTAGGGGTAGATTATGCAGGTCCAGTTATGCTGCGAGCGAGTCGGCAACGTAAGGCTCCTCAAATTAAAGCGTACATTGTTTTATTTGTGTGCATGTCCACTAAGGCAGTTCATTTAGATCTAGTTACGGAATTATCGACAGAAGCCTTTATAGCTACTTTGAAAAGATTTGTTTCACGGCGCGGTAAGTGTTCGATCATTCATAGCGATAATGGCAAAAATTTTGTAGGTGCTAATAAAGAATTATCTGACTTATTTAAATTTTTTAAAGCAGAAGAAAATAAGCGACCTTTAATTTCAGCCGTTACACAATTAGGTATTACTTGGCGGTTTACACCTACGTATGCTCCACACTTTAGCGGTTTATGGGAGGGGTCGATAAAAATAATGAAATCACATTTGCGTAGAGTGATTGGGTCGCATTGTTTAACTTACGAGGAATATGTTACATTGCTTACACAGGTCGAGGCAGTACTGAATTCACGTCCTTTATTAAGTATGTCGGATGACAGCACAGATGCGTCATATTTATCCCCCAGTCATTTTTTAATAGGTGATATAATGACTCCTGTACCAGAACCATATAATCCAAATTTGAGTGCAAATAAATTAAAAATTTATAAACAGATTACGACCATGCGTGATCAATTTTGGAAAACATGGTCAAATCAATATTTAAATCAATTACAGACCCGACATAGATGGTCAGACACTTGTTCAAATTTAAAAATTGATAGTGTTGTATTAATTAAGGAAGACAATGCACCGCCATTGCACTGGCAACTTGCCAGAATTGTAGACATAAAACCAGGTGCAGATGGTAAAGTTAGAGTCGTTAATATTAAAACTAATAAAGGAATTTATACTAGACCAATAACTAAAATTGTACCTCTTCCGATAGAATAAATATATGAAATTTCATATCTTATAAGTTAAATTTAAATAATGTATTTTTTTAGAATGTTAGAATAGATTTTACTCAATTATGATATATAATTTAAAATGAATTATTATTAATTACTATTATTATTTTTATACAGTCCACTTTTCGAAAATATGTGTATCAAATTGAGATTACGATCAAATTATTCATTTATGTTATGTATTTTTAGGTTAAGTTACCATTTTGATAAATGTTAATGTAATATTCATAATTAATGTAATAATGTAAAATTTTGGATGCTTTGCATCGCCCGGGAATATGGACAAATGTATTTGTGTATTCGAATTTCGCGCGCGTCTTATCTTTGTAATACAGAGTGAAGTATACTATGTTACTATGCGATTAGGCTTATTGTGTTTATATACGTCCTGTTCCATTTTGTACTTCAAGGAGACCACATCCAGCAAATAAATCATATTATATTCTAAATTGTGTTTTGGTTAATGTTATTATTTATTTTCTTTATTACCAATATTCATATATATATATTTTATGTTTTTAGGATTATTTTGTTTGCAAAGCATTTATTCTTTTTAAAAATTATCTGTACTTTTTATCCTTCTAAATTTTTGAATTACTTTTTATTCCTGCTAAATTTGTCATTTCATCGTCAATACTTCTGCGCATTTCTCTTATTAATTTTTAAGTTTTTAATATCAACAAAGTAACGAAAACAAACAGTCACAGGTAACCGTTGCCCTTATCACATTTATTAATGATTTTAAAGGCATGTTGAAACAACCAATAGAACAAAATAATTTAGACATGAACATGTTAACCAAATTAGTTAAAAATTAATGGCCAAGTTTCTTCGGATTGCTCAATGGAATGCAAATGGTGTTCTAAATCATAAAAATGAATTAATATTATTTTTACAACACATGATTAATGTGATGCTAATCAGTAAAACTCATTTAACAAATAATCTACATTTCAAGATTCCTTTCTATTATTTCTATAATATTAATCACCCAGACAATACTGCAAACGCTGGATCTGGAATATTGATTAAAAACAGCATTTCACATTACACACTAACAAATTTTCAAGAAAATTGTTTACAACCAACTACAATATGTATTAATACATTTCCTTAAGATATCATTGTCTATTCTGTATATTGTCCGCCACATCACACGATACAAACAGATGATTATGAAAAATTGATACACTAGGACACAGATTTATAGTGATAGGATATAGATTTTAACAGTAAAAATACCTTTTGAGGCTCTAGACTTACCACTCCTAAAGGTAAGCAGTTGGCACAAATGCTATTAAATAAAAATTATTCATTCTTATCGACTGGAAAACCAACTTATTGGCCTACGGACAGAAACAAACACCCTGACCTTCTAGATTTTTATATAATAAATGGCATTTCTGATTTATACACAAACATAGAAGATAGTTCAGATTTATCATCAGATCATACACCTATTATAGCAACAATTAGCACCACAGTAATAAGAGTGATAAAAAATCGATGTAAAACAAACTGGAACTCTTTTAGACAAAAAATCGATTCTAAATTAGACCTTAGAATGAGATTGAACTCTGAAGCATATATATAGAAAATAACTTAAATTTTTACATAAATACTCTGAAAAAATCTGTACAAAATCCTACTCCATATATAACATATAGCAATACAAAGTCTAATATCTCAATGGAAATTAAAATATTATCAAGGAAAAAAGACGAGCAAGGAAAATATGGCAAAGGTCACGTAATCCAAGGGATAAAACAGTATTCAACAACTTATCGAACGACCTAAAACAAAAGTTGAAAGTCATGCAGAACAACAGTGTGGCGGAATACATTACCTATAAAATCTTTGAAGGAACCAATCCATTTTAAAGCCCCATTAAGAATGGAATCACCATCATTAGGTGAATGGGCCAAAAGTGACAAAGAAAAGGCAAATTTGTTTATAAATTATTTATCATATAATTGACAACGATGTAAGGAATGCTCTAAGAACAATTCATGATGATTCTATAATTATAAAAAAAGTAACACCAAAAGAAATAAAAGAGTTTATTAAACAAATAAACAATAAGAAGAGTGCAGGGATAGATAACATAAAAGAAAGGTCTTGAAAGAATTGTCAAGAAAAGCAATTGTTCTGCTGACATATAATTATAATGCAATATTAAGGTTTGGATATTGGCCAAAATGTTTTAAAATTTCAGAAGTTAAAATGATTTTA